TGTCAGGCACCTTCAGGTGGAGGTTCTTCTCTGCTCATGTTCCTTAGGGGTGCTGTCAGGAGCCATGTGTCTCTCTTATGAAAAGCTTTTTCATTAAACATTTTAAATGCCATATTCTATAGATCTCCGAAGTGTCTGAAGACCATTTATGTATGTAAGGGATATCTAAATAGTCAAATGTTTGGTTTTTGGCTATTTAGTTTTTCCTTACTCAGATAAAACTGATCCTTCTTGGCACTCTGATGGGTTTGTGGATCAGTTTAATAGCAGAAACCAAGGCTTCAGCTGCCTTCTCAGGCCTCTTTGTGTGTAAAAATCAGGCCTCAAGCCTTACTCTCCAAGAGCTTCCAGTACTATGTCTAGAGACAACTTATCTCACTATTAGACTCAAAAATTCAATACAAAATTTCAATATTCCTGTATCTAAAGGAGCTCACTTTGCGATGACTGCTCCCAAGGCTCAGCCACCTGTGAATCATGGTAAATAGCTGGTTAAAAAGAGATAGAAAGCTCACAGGGGGCCTGAGGATATAAAAACTTATTCTAAGGATCTAAGAAAGTTGTTTTATAGTCTAAAAGATGTTTTAAGGTTAACAAATGCAAGTTATAAAGGTTAAAAGACAAAAAAACTTAAAAGAAAAAAATGATTTAAGATATATTTTTAAAAACTACTTCAGATTCTTCTTCCCCTTGCTATACTACTGCTGTATTAAGACTTCAAGTTCAAAGCTTTAATAGTGAATAGATTTTAATTGTTTCCCAAGCCTCTACTATGACAAAAACGTAAGTCTACTACCTAACATGTCTAAAATTTCTCTCTCCCTCTCCCTCTCCCTCTCCCTCTCCCTCCCTCCCTCCCTCCCTCCCTCCCTCCCCCTCTCTCTCTTCCCCAAGCATCCCCTCTCTCCCTCCCCCCTCTATCCCTCCCTCCCCCTCCCTCCCCCTCTCTCTCTTAATACGAGCATCAAGGGTCCTCAAGAGTATCCTCATGACTGATAAGGGTGACACCTGCATATTCCTGCTACTCTTACATCAATGAGTCTGGCCTGCTGGAGACCTGGACTGAGTTACTCCACTCATTGTCTAAAGAACTCCCCCAGTATAGCCAGGACACATCTCCATTCCATTCTTTCCAACGATCTTACTCTTCACATGGCTAGCCTCATTCTTCCTAGCACCTTGCCACTTCCTCTTCATCCAGGAATAGATTCATAAAATTTTCTAAGTAACAATCAACCAAATGTTCCTATACCATGCGTCCAGACGAGCATGACCCCACCTGCTCCCAACTCTCCAACCCTACACCTTCTGTCTTCAGCAGAAAGTAGCTGGGTCTGAATTGGCACCCTATACTCAAAGAGGTTGGGATGTTAGTCTGGAACCCCTGCTCATTTCCTGCACAAGCTGGGAAACCACGCTTGGAAGCTGCTCTCCTTTCCCAACCCTGCCTGTACACGGAACCCCCCAACCCCCACTTGGAAAAAACTCTAGGCTACCACATCACCACTCCTCATCCCTGAGTTTCCTGCAACACACCCAAGAATGACCACCCAGGGGCTTTTTGACCATGTATGGACATCATCCCAGCTCCTTGCTGGCACGTCATCGCTCCCCGCCTAAGCTCTATACAACCTCCTTGCTTTAGCCTGGATGTGTGACATCACTGACCTCCACCTGTGAGATTGGTGAACCCACCAGAGAGAGGAGTCCTAATAAACTCTCTTTATCTACTTTTAATCTGGCCTAATCTGGCCTATATCTGCTTCAAGAGGGGAAGAAACTGCCAATCACTTTTAAACACCCATAATCAGCTGATAACATCTTGTCTGCTGCTATTCTTTTTGAAAGGCACTTTCTCATTATACCACTCATCTAGTCTTCATACAGGTATCAATTATTACTCAGTTGTATCATAGCCATCTAAATTTTTATAACAACATGATTTTTATTTCATCTTTGGTTTCATAGGTCTCCAAAAGTTATGGTTTGGGTGGACTAGACAAATGGAAGAGATAGAAGATGTGACTTGAACTCAAAGAAAGTGATAATGTCATTAGTGAAAAGAGATTAATTAACATCCATATCTAAAAGTCATTTCAAAGGTCCATTTTCTATGTTTTAACAAGTTCATTTGTTTTACTTTCTAAGATTGCCAGTTTTCTTCTTCTTGCCAGTTTTCAGCAATATGTGCTTCCCAGATTCATGTGAACTTACAACTCACTGGGCAGCATGTTCTCAGTGCTTCACAGAGTTGCTTTGATGGAATATTCTTTGCATGTGTGTGCTACGGGAAATTTTCAAATATTATAACTGTTGACTATTTTAATTAAGTAACTGGTAATTACGTAAAACAGCTGCTGACAGACAAGAGCAGTCCAACACACATTTTAATATATTATAAAATTTATATTTATATATGTGTATATATAAATTTAAGTGTTTAAATTTATATGTTTGTATGTATATGTACAAGGAGAGTTTAGAGTACAGAGAATCGAGGATTCCGTGTGACTAACTAGAGTTTCATTTCAAATTCCTGTACATGATCTCTAAAATGAAAACCTTCAAGGCTCTTTTAATGTACAGTGCATACCTCATGGCTTCCTGGCTCTATTGTCAGTAGTGTGTACTTTGTTCAGTGATTACAGTTATTTCTTCCATGTACAAGCACAGTAACAAATTAAGATTTTTCTGGTTTGAAGGTTTACTTAACACTGTTGTCCCAGTGGCACTGGAATTCAGCATTGATCATGCTTTGCCACTTTCGTTTTATAGCACACTCCTCTCCCTCCCCTGAACTTTTCGTTAGGTCACAGATAAGACAAACTGTAGAAGCATTACAAGACAAGTGTTGGCTTGTAGTATTGTCTTTAAATCTCTCACAGGGTTTGAAACTGGAGAATTTGTTTTCAGTGGGGAATTTGGTTAAACCAGAATGATAGCTGTCTAAAAATTCTTTTTGGTTTTTGATGTAAGCCAAATAATACATTCAATCTTCAACTGCTTAAGTTATGAGGTCAAAGTGGACATAATAAAATTGGCTTTGTCAGTCCCTTATATCTAGTCATCTATCAGTTTCTTTTACTTTTTGAGATTACAAAGTATTTTATTTCTTTAATCCATTTGTTTTCCCAAACCCTCATATATATCCTTCCTTGCTCTATTTCAAATTCATGACCTATTATTTCTTTAAACGTTGTGCTTTCTCTGTCTATCCATCTGTCTGTCTGTCTGTCTGTCTATCGATCTATCTATTTATCTATCTTCCTAAATACATAACTACAACTTGCTCAGTCTGTATAATCTTACTTGTATATATGTTTTCAGGGCTGACCGTTTGGATAAACAATTTGTATGATCCTCTCTGGGGGGGTCTATTTCTCCCGCTTTCAGCAGTTCTTAGTTGCTTGTAATCCTTTGTCTAGGGTTGAGGCCTTGGAGACTTTCCCCATACTCTTTAAGAAGTGTTCTTTCAGTGTCCTTTCCTAAGTCTATTTCAACTGACAATTCATGATGCATATATACAGGTCACTAGCAGTTTACAGTAGAGACTCTGGAGCCCAAAGAAGAATTCTCCAAAACAATGTTTTTGGGGAAGGCAGGAGTCACATCTGGTGCTCTGATTGAGGTGTCTAGGGATTCAGCTTTTAGCTACTGCATTGCACTTCCTACAGCATAACTGCATGTAAAGATACTGAGAGGAAGCACAAAAAGTTCATTGTCTTCTGCATGAACTTCACCAAGGTGCTTCCTGGCCAAGCTCTGAAACTACAGCATATGCTCCTTGTTCAAGGGAAAGTGTAAATACTTTGACATATTATAAAGTTATCTAAGAGTCAAAATAACAACACTTCATACCCATTGGCCGTGAGACTTGTTTTATAAAAGAACTTTCCATTTTTGTTCAAGAAGTGTACACGCTGAGGTGAACTTTCTAATTCCCCTTTGCAGTAGCTCTCCAGGCTTCCTCTGTATTCTCAAGGCTCTGTTTCTCATTATTTTCCTTTATTAGTATGCAAATATAATGTATACTGATTCTTAATAAGGCAGTACAACTGAGGACTAGAGTGAAGCCTTGTTCACTTGATGCCCTAACATAACAAGGTGAAAACTTAAGACTAGCACAGCACACAGCCTTGATGGAGTTTATGCCTCTCGTGAATTTTGGAAAGAAAATGAAAGAAAATAAGCCACTCGTTTTAACTCTCAAGAGTTTAATATGTTCTTTACTAACACCTTTGAGGCATGACTGATATGGATGTATCTTAGGGAGGAAAAACTCCTTTGTTTAAATTACACCTTTGTTTTCCTTTGTCCTACTGTCTCTCCAGGTTGTAGGTAATCCAAGGATTAAAGTCAGGAGTGAAGCAGAAAAAAGCAATTTCAGAACCCAGGGCATTGCAAAGGAAGCAGGGATACAGTGTTTCTGATTGCACAGTAAAGTCCTGGAGGGGCGCCCTGGCAAACAGCCTTCCGTCATTTCCCTGAGCAGTCTGTCAGGTCTCCACACATTTTACTTAGATTCTGACAAGTATTCCTTCATATGTCGGTTTTTGTTTCTCTAGTACCTAAGAGAGGGGATGGAATTGGACCCCTAACAGTGGGCAGAAAACCAATGCCATGAGGCTACAAAGGGACAGAGCCTTAGACTGGCTCCTGCTCCTGCACCCACACCTTCTCTTGCTTGAGGAAGTATTTAAAATATTTGCATTCCCTTAGGTAGACCCCCCCCCACACAATCCATCCTGTTCTCCTCTTCTCTCTTACAGCATTTGTAAGCATTATATTAGTTCTAGCTACAAGTGGATTCCAGCCTCTGTCAATTCTGTTCTTGTCCATTTTAAATCCTTATCTACTTCAAACTGATGCAAGCCTATTAGATTTGATCAGGGGGCTAAGAATTTGTACTCATGAGTACTTACAGTTCTGCCTCTCTTATGTAGCAAATATATAGAAGGAAAAAAATCTGACCTTTTGCAATCTCAGCCCCAGGACTTGGGTTCCCAGCAAACAAGGCAACTTACAGCCTGGATCGGAAACTCCCAGACTTGCTGAGCGGAGAAGAGGGGGTTTTCCAATGATCTGTCCTTTAGGGTTTAAAAGCGCATCCCGGGAGCGACTCTTTCATTCTCTATGAAGTTCTGAGCTGAGAGCCCAGGGACTCCCTGAACCCAGCCAGGCAGCCTGTGAGTAACTTTGCACAGCCAGGAAGTGGGGAAGTGCTGCTTTGAAGAGTTACTGCTTAGGGACAGTGTGTGGCTGATAGCCATTGACTACTGAGTCTTGGCTGCAGGGGGCCACCGCGTTGCGGCTCGGCACTGAAACTCTGGGTCCGGGGATCTGAAAACCCGACTCTAGAACTGCTCCTCCCCGCCCGCCCAGGGTTGTACGCCCAGGTGCCAATGGCTCTGGGCCACCAAGTTCAGCGCGGGTAGTGGCTGACCATGGGAGAGGCCGTGCTCTCAGCCGGTCCAAAGTGCAAGGCCGGGCTATTCCCGGACGTGCAGAGGCTCGGGGGCGGGTGGCACGTCCCGGAGTGTCCCAGAGTCCCCGGCGCGCTAGGCGCACCTACTCGTGCGCACCAGAGAGCAGCGCTTACCATGGAACATGGTCTGCGGGAGGTGGCTGTAGTCATGATGACTGGGACTGCGGCAGGAGCGGGCTCTCACCACCCATAATCACGCCCAGGACCCCGGTCATCCGCCGAGTGGCCGCAAGCCGGTGCTGGGCAGGGCAGTCCAGGCAGCTGACTCCTCTTACTCACGCCACGCCTGGTCCATCCATCCCAGGAGGGTCGCGTGCATCACCGGCCACCCGGGCGCTCTGGCTTTGCCATAACTTCCGTAAGATCTGCCGGCAGAGTAAGCAGGGTACTTTCAGTTTCTACTTTGAGCTGGGTCTTCAGGTTCAGTGTTTGGGTTTATACCCTCAGCGTCTTCCCCATGCACCTGGACCAGGATCAGTGGTTGCTGCAAATTTCGAAAGTACCTCAGGAGAAGCCAGCTGGCCTTCTGGATCAGAAAGATTCGGCTAATAGGCTTTCCAAATGACTTCTAACCGCTTTGGCAACTCTGGGAGACTAGAAGCTAAAACCACCGGTTACTAATATGTGCACAGAAGCCACAAATGTGCAGCAGAGAAAACTCCTTATTGCAAGTTCCACTGAGGAGGCGTCACTGCTTCTGCTGCGATGTGGCTGACGTTGCCAAGTCATCTTTAAAAAAAAAAAAGGAAGTGAAGGATGATTAAGAGGGTCACGCCCTCTCCTCCTCTAGGCTCGCTAGTTTTTCCCTCTGTCTTCTGTGCAACGCACCTGCTCAAGTGGGACTTAAAGAACAAATAATTCTTGTGAGTCCACTCAGTCTAGTATATAAATGGTAGCTTCAGAAAAGCAAAACTCGTTATTAGTTGGGGTGACATAGAAGTTATGCATAGTAACTAACTTCCACAGGTATCTCCTGACATGGCTAAAAAACTAACCATCGTGATTGTTTCATTAAAGTTTTTTGTTTTGTTTTTGTAATAGGCCAGAATTATCTAGTATTTGCTCTATGCCAGCACTGTTGGTCAGGAATTTACATGTATTTTGGCATCTGGAGTTTTCTGTGAGGCATTCCGTTTTCTTATCTGCAGTTGAAAGATACACACGGGAACAGAGGCTTCCTTAAGTAATAGAGCTAAGTTCACATGACTGAATTTGGATAAAATCCACCTGCAGTCTGGCTTCAAAGAGTCTGCTTGGAATCTCTTGTGTAAGAGAACTCTATGAATAATGGAGTATGGTAGTAGACTAGGAAGAGGATCTGTGGTTGTAGGCATGCCCGTAACCCTCTGGAGAACCTCAGGAAGGCGTCTGGAGTCTGTGGTTCCTATACTGACATCTGTACGGGAGCTTCAGATTCTGTCGTGGTGTCACAGTGAAAAGAGGCAGAGAGAAAGGAGTGAGACAGGGACTGTCTGTGCATGACAGTGTAGATTAGGAGTTCTAACCCGACACTGGCCTGTGGACTCTGCAGGGACTCTTAATATAATTCAATGTAAAACCTGTGGTTTTAGTGCACTTCCAAAATAAATCCTACCTGGTGACTGCAGGGCTGTTTAAGGACCTCTGTTGTCTCTCTTGCCTACAACAACCTTTCATTCTTCTCAAAGCATCAGGAGATTTGATGATGCTTGTCATCCTCACTGCAGCCACTGGCCTGTCCTCCCTGTTCTCCAGACAGCTCCCTTCCACGGAGAAGAGGTTCTCTAGAATAGAATTAGACTCCAGCATTGCAGTATGGCAGGATGGAAGAGCTATGAGGGTGAGAAATTGCTTCAAGGATGAACACGGAAGAATGTTCACAAAAGGAGGGAAATAGAAGAAAGAGAAAGAAAACAGGGAAGAGATGGGAAATGAAATCAGGAAACTGGGCCTAGAGGGGAAAAGCACATGCTTCCAAAAATGTCACTGAAACTCAGATGTGAAGATAAGAAGTAGACGGAGATGAGGCTGCAGGGACAGTTAAATATTAATTCTATGAACATGCCAACAGTTATGATACCTAGATTAAACTCCCTGGCCATGGAGTACAAGTAGGGGCACAACTCTCATGTTCTGCACTTTCCCCGATCTGTTGTTGGGCTTTCAGAGTAGAGTCAAAGAACATCCATCAACAGTGTGCAAAAGGGAGACTCTGCCTTCCTTCCTGGTGCAGTAACCAGAAAGGCAGACAGGACAAGACTTGTGCATAGGCAAAATTTGTGCAAAATGAGGGGAAAGTATCTAAAGTTCTAGGAAAGGAGAAGTGACTTTTTTTTTTTAAACAGGACTCTATCCTTAAGTGTTAAGAATGTCTTCTGAAAAGAAGATTTAGAAAACATTTGGAATTTAAAAGGTTAGGTGAAAATGGACACCTTTGAATTACATTCTATTATGAGAGAATTCTAAGAAAATTAGTGTCATTTTGAAAAGAATCAACCAAGTTCTTTAAATCAGCTATTGGTTGTTAAATAAAAATCAAACATACAAATAGACAAGGGTAGATGTTTCACGAGTTTTTAGAATGTTGATAATTAAATAAATGAAGTAATATGCCAGGACTGGCTGTGGAGACCTGTAACCCTAGCGACTCATTCAGAGGCAGGAGAATTGAAAGTCCAATTCCTGCTTTGCTGAATAAGTGATACCATGTCTTTAAAAGTAACAAAGTAAAAGAGGATTGGAGATACAGCGCAAAGCTTGCTTAATTTGCAGAATCCCCTAGATTTCATCCCCAGTATCACAAAAAAGAAGACAGAGGTGGGAGTGGAGGAGGAGTGTTAGCAACAGGAGAAGGAGGAGGAGGAGAAGGAAGAGGAGGAGGAAGGGGGGGAAGAGGAGGAGGAAGAAGAAGAGGGAAGCAGAGGGGGAGGAAGAGAAGGATGGAGATGAGGGGGAGGGGGAGAAGAGGGAAGAGGAGGAGGAGGAGAGAAGAATGAAGAAATAAGACAATTACAAAATTGATTAACACCGTGTAATAGGAAATGCTGAAATACATTATAGGATGCTGACTTATGACATAAAATTATTAATGATAGGCAATGTCTTTTCAAATTTCCACACTTTACCACTATTAGTCAATATAGTTAATTATTTATTTATCTGTTGCCCAGGCCTGCTTTGACTAGAACTCCCTATTAAAGCCTCTTGACAACTGAGGCGCTATGCATATACCAACATTCATGATGAAAATTTATTTTCTTGACTAATTATTTATATTTATTTTACCTGATTAAATATGATAATTATCTGTCTGTCCAACTATTTGTCTGTCTATAGACTCTGAGATCTAGATTCTATTGTGCTGTGTGCATGGATATTTTCTGAAGTTCCTATGATTTATTCTTCTAGAGAAAAATATCAAAATAGGAAATAACACACACACACACACACACACACACACACACTACAGATATTTGAGGTGCAGAGTTTGTTTTGAGGGATCCATTCTTGGTCTACTGTTATGACCATGAACATTTTAAGCTATATTTGGACAAAGGGACTGTTCACTTTGCCTTGAGATTCAGAAATTCAGTTGCTAAATTGACTATGCATGCTCACTATGGCTGGCAATCCATGCTTTTAAGGTGATTTTATATTGAAAGAGAAATGTGTGTGTCATTTCAAAATTCAATGTGTTGACAAGGAAAGAATGAGGCACTATTTTAACCAGAGAGTAAAGGGAGTGTAAGCCCATTTTATTGTGAATGTACAAGAATCAATTCACTCTTCCAGTAAGAAAATAATTTCCTGGTCTATAATTCTAAATCAGATACGAACTTCAAGTATTTTCACAGAATGAATTTTGAACATAACAAATTGGCAACTGAGCATTTATTTATGTGTTGCTTTTCTTGCTGCATTTCTGAATAAACTATGATACCACATATGAATTGCTACTCTCCAGATTGGAATTTATCATTTTGCCCACAAACAGGACATATTTGTTCTTCATGCCACGATTCAGCCAATTTTTTTAGGTTTTGCTAAAAACACAAAAGAAACTTAGAACTGTGTTTTCTAAACCTCAGTAAAAATGTTCCATGAAACTATTTTTTTTGTGGAAGACATGTGGAAGTTCAAGAATAAAACCTATTTAGCCCTGTGGAATAAAGTCCAGGGCAGGCGCTACTGTCTGCTTTGGCCACAATGAGACTCAGAAAGAAATGGTTTGTTTTGATGATTCAGTTAGAAATTAGCAGCTCAGCTGTTGAGACGTAAATGTAACATATCTTAGATGATTAGAGCCATCGAAAAAAAATAACGTTATGAAAAATAAGGAAGCTTAAATGCTAAAGAACGAAGATGTAATGCCTGTGGAGAGAGACTGTGAGACACAAACCTTACAGACTAGACAGAAACAAAGTCTATACCCACCAACAAAACCAGTAGAGTGACCACCAAGTAGGAGAGTTAGCACTCTAGGGAGACAGGAGGACACATTTTAAACTAGTCAGTAACCATTCAAAATCCACAAATTCTGAAAAGGAAGATGACTGAACTGCATTCTCTCTTGGATTGCTTAGTCCTGAGGACAACCATACAAACAGACTAGTGTAGGTATCTGTGGAACACATAACTTAGGAAATAAAGTTAGGACACATTTTCAGAGATGTTTGCTAACGCCGATAGGAGTGTCCCCAAGTTTCACAAGCATATCAGGCACAATGGAAGCTTTCAGTTTTAAGAAGGATTTAAGCATATTTACAAATTTAATGACAAAATTCAGTTCTGAAATAGCAGGAAGAATGGACTCAAGAAGCTAAAATGACCTGCTATTTTTATTATTTTCTTTTCAGGTCAATTTCAGCCTTTTATAATTCTCAACAATCAGAATCTGTTAGGTATCAATAATATTTTGGCTCTGAATTATTTCCTGCACACTCACTTATATACTGCTGGCATAAACATTGCTTGGTCCAGTATTGCTCTGTTACCTTTTAGAAAAAACAACTGTAGGGTAGGAAGTTTGTTTTACGTGGTCCTTTTGTGTGCTAATGAATGTATGTCTGGCACTCAGGACTTTTAAAATATATAATACAGTTGGAAAGGGACTATGCTTTAAATCTCTGCTTTTATAGACGACTAGTGAGAGAAATTGTTCCTACAACAAATTTTTCATGAAAAGAATTTGAAGAAAATGGAAAACATTTTGCTTAAATTTCTTGGTAGCTTCCCTCTGTGTTATCCAATTACTATTTGAAGACACCCAGTTATTGTTTTTGCACTGTTAGACAACAGTGACTGTTCCAGTCAGTCTAGAATTTTATGTATTAAAAAAATTGCCTTCTGAGTCACAGACTATACCCAGTTCTGTCCTGTGGGAAAACAGAGACATCAGTCTGAACAAGTCTTGCCTTGGATTGATCATAGAGAATCAGAACTCCTCGTAAAGCTATGCCAAGAAGCTATTCAAGAATGTTACAGTCCCAACTACCGCCTGGCAGTTAAATGCCTAAGCTTCTGGTAACATGGTCAGTTCTTACATCTAGCAGAAATATGAATATTTCCTAATATAGAAGACTCCTTATTTTAAATAATTTCATTGTCCCACTAGAGGGTTACTATGTTTTTTTTTTCTTCCAGTAAGCCAGGTTTATTCCAGCATATTATTGCTTTCGATTCTTGGGATAGTTATGAACTTGTATAT